TGTTTTTAAAAATTAAATAAATAGATTTCATGGCAGATTAAACACAGCTGAAGAGAGGATTCATAAACTGATATGGAAAATGATCAAACTGAAGCAGAAAAAAGGATTCAAAATGCAGTAAAATGGCAAAAGATGCACCTGGGACAGTAATAAAAAATGCCAATATACATGTGTGATTAGTCTCATTAGGGAATAAGAGAGAAAATTAGCCAGAAGCAATATTTGAGGAGTTAACAGCTAAGAATTTCTCAAAACTGACAAAAGATATCAAGGTTCAGGTTTAAGAAGTCCTACACAGCCCAGGAAGGGTAATGTAAAGTAGACCATGCAAAGGCACATGACTGGAAATCTGCTGAAAACCAAAGACAATAAGAAAATCTTAAAACGGGGCGCCTGGGTGGCTCAGTTGGTTAAGCGACTGCCTTCAGCTCAGGTCATGATCCTGGAGTCCCTGCATCGAGTCCCGTATCGGGCTCCCTGCTCGGCGGGGAGTCTGCTTCTACCTCTGACCCTCGCCCTTCTCATGTTCTCTCTCTCATTCTCTCTCTCTCAAATAAATAAATAAAATCTTTAAAAAAAAAAAAAGAAAATCTTAAAACCAGGGGAAAAAAGATAATTATGTTAAAAGGGTAAAAATAAGACAACTGGAATTTATAGAAGACAATGGAATAACACCTTTAAAAATGAAATAAATAACTGCCAGCCTTTAATTCTATATCCAGTGAAAATATTCTTTAAAGGTAAAAGTTAAAATGAAAACATACTTACACATTTTCAGACAAAGAAGTTGTTTTTTGACCCCTGCTAGACAATGAAACAATAATAAACAGAAGGAGAAGGAAAGGAAAAATAAAATTATCCTTATTCACAAATGGCAGGATTATGTCCACATGAAATTCAAAAGCAGCAGGTTAGTAATTAGAATTAGTAAATAAATTTAGTGCTATCACAGAGTACAAGGTCAACATAAAAATTAATGACATTTTATTGTCTTGGACATCTTGGACATCCAAGATAAGTTTTACTTATGTACTGAATCAACTTTGAGTCATAAAGACTCTTCAATTCACTAAGTCAAACGACAAAATGGGGGACATTGAATCAGCTCTTTGCATCATGAATGGGACAGCAACCTGGTTTGACATCCCTTAGACACAGCCCAAGTAGGCTGACATTCCTAAACACACTGCTCTACTTAGAAAGTGATCTTATAAGGCCCCATATTCCCCAAGAATTATCTCGTGGGGGTGTGGTATAGAGTAGTGACTAGAAAAACAGGCCTCCCATGAGTCAGGCCGACTGGGTTTAAATCCTGGTTCTTCTACAACTTAATAGCTGGGTGACTTGGGGCAAGTCATTCAACTTAGCTCTGTCCCTATTTCATCTATTAAATAGGGATATAAGTAGAACCAGTTTATAAGGTTGTGAGGATTTAATGAAAAAAATCATATAAAGCCTTTGTATACAGAGTATGATCCACAGACCAGTAGTACTGGCATTACCTGGGAACTGGTTAGAAATGTGGAATCTCAGGACACACACTAGACTGACTGAATTAGTGTCTGCTCTTTAACAAGACTCCAGTGTGACTCCTCTACCAATAGAGTTTGAGAAGCATGTAAAAAAGGGGTCTGTTATATTAGTACCTAGTCAATAAACAATAGCTTTAATCATTACTATGCCTTCTGAGGTTTAATAATCATAAAGGACCTGAAATGAGAATCTAAGTTCTTCAATTTCTTTTCTAAATTGATCTCTTTTACCTCCAGAGTAATGGTTTTAGGCCCTGGATGTGAAAGTCTTTACTGATACGATTGCTAAGTACTACCTTGGACTGAGGTTACTGCACCAATCAGTGACTTGTTATTATCCATATCTTCCACAGCAATTTGGGGGAAATATCATCAGGTCAGTTATCCTGAAAACAGATGCAATAGAAAATAAAACATACTGCTCTTCAGAGAGGAGCAGATTAGAGGAAGACAAGAAAATTATGGGAAACAAGACAGAGATTCTATACCATGTGACACCATGTACCATCTGTTCAGCCATTGTTGAGATCTTCCATCTACTCTGTGGATGTTCCCTTCACTGAGGATTTTAGTGTCTGGCTCCCTGTCTTCCTCCCCAGGACTATTCCTGTCATACTTCTTGGTAGCTTCACTATCCACATATGATTTAATGAACTCTCCACCCTTTCAAGTCTTTGTCTCATTTTAAGGACTGCTTTCTCAATCCCACCTCAGCCACTCTTGGCTTTTTTTTTGTTTTGTTTTTGTTATGTTAGTCACCATACAGTACATCATTAGTTTTTGATGTAGTGTTCCACGATTCATTGTTTGCATATAACACCCAGTACTCCATGCAATACATGCACTCTTGGCTTTTCTTAAAGTTTGTCATTACCAATACCTGTGTTGCCTTCAAAAATCTCAATTTCAAGCACCCCCCCATCACATTGTATCTTTACCTTTCAACTTTTATTCAATAATACTTCAGCTCCTCATGTCAAAGCCATCCCATATTTCAGAGTCCATCAATCACTGTCTCCTTACTTAATCAGACTCCATGGTCTCTCGCTATTGTCACACAAAAATTAACATATTCATGAAAGATCACAGAGTGACTGAGCTACAAAGAAAATCAGATCTCTTCCTGGCTTTAAAATAATCTCCACCATACTGGACAGTCCCTATAGTCTTCCCAGTTCCATTGTCCAAATGTGTATGAGGATCTTCTAGGTACAATGCCTTATACAAGTATATTGTGATGAGTTACAAAGATATGTCAGAGCGAATTCCAGGCCTCTTGGAGTACAGTTTGGCAAAAAATAAATTAATTAATTAAAAATAAGGCAGATATATCAATGGATGTAATGGAAGATAGGAAATGGGGTTACAGGGGAGGTAAAAATAGAGTCCATGGAAACTTAGACGAGAAAGATTTACTTCTGGCTGTGGGAGATTAGGGAAATCTTCAAGAAGAAAGCTACATATGTTACTTAAATAACATACTTAGAACTTAAAGAACTTAAAGGTGATTTGGAAGTGCAAATTAGAACTTAAAGTTATAACGTAAAGGAGACTTAGAAATGTAGTAGTAAGTGTCAGAGTACTCCAACAGAGAAAAAAAGAGTATGACTAAAGGTAGGAGAGCATAAAGGAGAAGAGTAAGCCGTGCATTCAATTTGGCTGGAATGAAGGAGGCATAAAAAAAGAACAGGGCAAACAAATGATTGACCTGTCTACTGGGATGTCAAAATTGTTTTCCACCCACACACCAAACCTGTTCCTCTCTGTCTTCCACCAGCCAGTTGCTAAAACTCTAAATGTACAACTAATCCTTGATTTCTATATTTCTTTGACAATTTTTATCCATTTTACCAGAAAATCCTGTTGACTCTACTCCCAAAACCCATCCTGAAACCACCTACTACTTTCCATCTTCATGGAAAACACCTGAAATCCAAGCCACCATCATTTCTCACTTGAATTGCCACAATATCTTCTCTCCTTCCACTCTTGTCCTCTTATAATCTATTCCCAGAGTAACAGCAGCCAGAGTAACCTTTCCAAAAATTTAATCAGATTACATTACTCCCCTGCTGAACATTTTACAGTGTTGCCCTTCACCTAGAATGAAATTCATATTCCTTACTTGGACAAAGTCCCATATAATCCACCTCTCTGTCCTGTCTTCTCTCTATCAACCTTTACCTACATGTCTACCAACATAAGCCTTCTTTCTTTTCCTGAACATATCGACAATATCTCTGCCTTAGATTCTTTGCATTACCTACTCTCTGTGCCTGAAATGCTGATGTGTTTCAGCTGTACTGCCCATGGCTAACTTCTTACCATCAGATGATTGTTTAAATGTCACCTCTTCAGAGAAGTCTTCCCCAACTAGCTAGTCATTCATTTATGCCCTAGTGGATTATACTATTTTAATTTTCTGCACAGTTCTCATTACTACTGGATGTTTTGTCTATACGTTTATTTTTTTATTGTCTGTCTTCATTGGAGTATAAGAGCGTGGGGTGCCTGGGTGGCTCAGTTGGCTAGGCATCTGACTGTTGATTTCAGCTCATGTCATGATCTGAGGGTTGTGAGATCCAGCCCCACATCAGTGTAGAGTCTGCTTATTCTCTCCCTCTCCTTCTGCCCTTCCCCCCACCCCATGCATGCATGCTTTATCACTCTTAAAAAAAAAAAGAATATAAGAGCTCAAACTTTGACTCCATTGTTCCCTGTTCCATCCCTAACACTTAGAAATGTCTGGTGCTGAATGAATAAATAAATTAATGGCTAAATCAAAGAAAGCTGGAATGTTATGTGGGGACTTGAATGACAAGATAAGAAGTTGGACTTTATTCAAAAGAAAAATAGAATTTTGAGGTCTTTGAAGTGGAGATAGAAAGATGCAAAAGACACACTTCTTGCCTTCAAAGACTTTATGATTCACAAATTATACCAAACCATATTACAAAAAAACAAACTCAGACCAAATCATATTATGAAAAAAAAGCCAAGTGTCATATCATAAGCACCAGATGACTGACATAAAACAATGCATGCTATAGGAATTTGGCTAAACTACAGCATGCAAGCTGGGATAATTGAGAGGAAGTTGGAACTTAAAGGCCACAATACACAGGTGGAAGGAAGGAAGGGAGGAAATATCTAAGCAGGGGAAACATGTTAGCAAAGACACAAAGGCAAGAAATGTTTTCAATGAGCTCAGGGTATAGAATAGATTAGTTTAGTCCCAAACTAAGAGTACATACAAAGGGACTTCATACCAATGTATTAACAAATATCTGTTTTATCATAAAAGCATGGTCCTTAAATAAAAATGCTTGCCTCAAAGATCAAAAACAGAAAATTGTACTAAGAATATAACAACATGCCCATAGAATCACGAATTAAATTGTTTTCTATTTTCTGGCAAGTAAATTTGAAAATTAATTAATATATTCTTTTTCTTTTCACTTCCCACAGAGTTGCCACTCCATTTGGAGGTTTTGAAAAAGCATCAAAAATGGTTAAATTCAAAGTTCCAGATTTTGAACTACTACTTCTAACAGATCCCAGGTTTATGGTTTTTGCCAATCCTCTTTCTGGCAGACGGTCCTTTAATAGGACTCCAAAGGGATGGATATCTGAGAATATTCCTATAGTGATAACAACTGAGCCTACAGAGGATACCACTGTACCAGAAACAGAAGACCTATGAAAAGAAAGTTTTATTTGCCACAAAACCCTCTAAACATAAATGTTGCTGTTTTATTATTCTACTTACTGGCAAAGCCACTTACACTCTTCATTAGTAGCAATAATTTAATAGCAATTTAGCAATTTTCCTTTTATCACATTTAAATTCAGTCTCAGATCAAACACTAATAAACAATTCGAAATCTTGCTTTAAAAACTTTCAACTCACTTGTCTTTATTCATAATTTTGTTTTCACCTGATCTAAACAATCCAGCCTTTTCACTGAGAAAGTCCAGAAGAGTAACTGACAACAAAAGCTTTTATCTTCTTTTCCTTTAATATGAGCTATTTTTGAATAAGTTTTTCAAGTGGAATCTAGAATTAAAATGCAGTGCAAGATATTTAGACTCATTTGGAGTTTTCTTTAAGGGATGAAAGCTATGGAAGCTGATATACAAACAAAATTGATGGAGAAAAGGGTTGGAAAGGGTTCCTTTCTGGTGACCGGGATAAAACAGCATGTCTGGATAAAGATTTTTCATTAGTCATTCTTAGAATCTAAACTGCTTGTATTTTTTGACCAGCTTTGAATCACTAGGTAACTATTCCAATGACATTCTCCAAAGTTCAGTTGGGTTACTATATTCATTTAGTATTAAGTCAAGCAGACAGAGAGACAATGACTCAACGAACATCATACTTGTCTTAATGGTCAGGGTGTACTTGGAATTCAAGCTCCATAAATCCCAAAGCTGTGTGTTGATTAGGTTTGACTTTATGTATGCATTTTCAGAGGAGTAATAACAAATAAAATACATGCTTATATACATCTAAATCTAAATATATATACATGAGAGAGAGATGTATGATTTGAATTAGCAGCACTTTTTTTTTTTTTTTTTTTGCTGAAACTTTAAAGTCTACTTAGTCCTTAAATACTTGGGAGTATATGTTATAAAATGCAAACAAAAACAAGAAATGAAAGAGTACAAAAGCATCTGAAAGCAAGGTAGCACACATCAATCATGAGATATGTGAACATACTGATATACAAGGCTCAAACTAATATAGAGTTATAGATCTGTCTTAAAATATGATAGAGGGAGTAGATAGCATAGAGCTGGTAAGAAGTAAGTATCAGTTTTTTCCATTTCAATTCAGTTGAGAGTTCTGTGATAGATGTTTATGCCAGAGAAGGAATGCCTCAGTCATAGAAAACTATGCACCAGGCTAAGTTTAGGAAGGAGAATGGATCATAAAGAAAATGCCACATAACAACATTACATATTTACAAAAGAATCTGTGTATTCAGTGTTGGAATTGGTGGTTGTTTTAATCATCCTCTAGTCTTGTAAGCAGAGAAATTTTTTTAAAAACTGCTAATGAAAAAATGCAATCTCTAGAAAGTAGCAATATCAAAGTATTATATTAATACATACTGAAATTATAGAGAATTTGTATAATTTAAAATATATCTTTAAGATAACTTAGTTTTATTTAAGTTTTGGTGTTTATCTGTTTTAAAATAATAACATTGGCATCTGTGATAAACTAGATATAAGGCTCCCATCATGCCATTTTTTGGTCCATTTTTAATGTTTTAAAAAATAAAAATTAGTCATATTCTATTATGCATTATGAAGAAATCATTTAGTTTTTATTAGCAGTTTGAAATGAGTTATCATTTCTCATTAAATTGAAATTTTATTGCATGATTTCAACCATCTCCAAGTAATTAAACTGTATGCTCAATATCACCATTCTGTCAACCACCGAAAGGGGGCCCAGCGATTAAATATGCTAGCTAAAGAACAATACTCCCAGCTCTGCAACTCCCATAAAGCAATATTTAAAAAGGGAAAATCTTAAGTTTTTTTGTTTTTTTTTTTAAGATTGGATAGAAAATGATGGAATAACTCTCTGTTCACTACTGTATTTCTTCCTTTCCTGGAAGTGTGTATTAATTTTAGCTCAGCTGTCTGACACCTTTAGAAATGCCAAAATGTCATACTCTGGTTGCTACACAATCGAGAATTTGAAAGGAATTTTGAATAGGTTTCCATTGCCCTGAAAAACAGCTAAATTTTTCCAAGTCTGAAGAAATATGAGAGTCTATTTAGAACAGCAGAAAATCTGTGATATCTTTTCCAGTCATATTTGTATACATGAAAAATGGAATAAAGGAGAAAGAAAATTAAAAGAAAAAGTAAAAGAATAAAAATAACTTTCATTGATGGACTATTAAATGCCAGGCACTGTACTCATGGTTTTATAAAGGCTTCTTAACATATATTTGTAATATTTTATTTACATAATTATCCTGTGAGGAATGTATTAGAAATAATCTCAATATTATATAAGAAAATTGAGCCTTAGAGAACTAAGGTGATTTGCTTAATTCTAGGAGAACTTGGTAAGTCTGGCTCTAAAATATATTCAGCCTTAAGCTATTTTTTTACATTAGACAAAATAAGAATAAATCTCCATTATCTTAGTTTGAGGCAAATACAGCTATAAACTGGACAAATTCAGAGACCCCCTCCAAAGTCACTCAGGCACTCATGATCAGAGAAGGCTGCTCTGTCAGGCTATACTGAACGTGAACCCAATAAAACAAGCAACATGCATATTTAATTTTGAAATTTGAGAACCACAAAAGCAAACTCTGATTAAATTTGCTCATTTCTGCTCAGCACTGTGCATCTTCCTTTTCTTTCCCCTGCAGAGGCAAAGGAGGAAAGAAGAGGAAAGAAAGGAAAGGAGTGCATGTCACTAAGTACCGTAAGGTTGAAAGAAATCATCTAGTGTGATAATACACCAAAGCCATTCCTTTAAAGAAAATATTTTCTACTTTGCAAAACTAGACAGAACTCTCTCAATTTCCATTATACTGTTCAACAGACTTCCGGATCATGAAATTATATCTCCTATTTTATGTAAGCCAATTTCCTGATGATCCGTTGGCCAATTGTTCTCTAGATAATAACTAGAGCCACATTAATAACTAGAGCTATGGTTAAAAAGACCATTCTTGGTTTTTAACTCTACTCCCTTCAATCATTTCTCAAAGTTAGGATTTTCCATTTCTTAACTCACTATTCAAAGGCACTTGATAATTAAAAATAACTAATTACAGGTCATTACAGAATCAAGGCAAATATAAACAATAATTGTGAGTCTAAGTGACCATTTATTGAATCCATTTACACTTTTACATTTTCTAAATAGATCCATTTATAAATGTTTTAGCAGCTTGGAAATGGAGGGAGCCAATTATTCTTGCAAAGGCTAATGTGGAGCAAAATGTCCAGTCGTGAGTATGAAAAGAACATCCTGAACTTTCCAACTCAGGGCACAGCTGTACCAGCAGACTTATTAATTCTGGAATTTCCTCACTCTGCTGCTTAGGCAAGATAAAACTTACATGACATCATTGCAGTTTCTCAGCCACAACTGCTTTTTATTAAGCTTAGGGAAGTATTGCTTTGAATGCTTCTTTTCTTATGAAAAATACTTTCGACCTCCACATGCTCTATTCTGTAGGAAGAAGAGTGGTTTGCTTTCTATGAAAGGTGGAAGAGTGACAGCTTCTGCTCAGAGAACAAGCAAGGGGAATCTACTGATCAAAGCACTTCACCAATATATCAACAAGTCTTTGGAAAATTATAATACTTTAAAAAGTTCAACTTTCCAGAGCCAAGAAAAAAAATAAGTAAAATTGTGTAAAGATTTCCAGGGCTGAAGCTGGAGTGTTATCAGATAAAGAACAGGGTGTGTCTCTATTTGAATTCCTTAGAAGGGCTGGATTTCAATCCAGGAATAGAAACTTTTTCTGCTTTCTCAATATAATGTGATATCAATAGGAATATTTGGTCCGTATGGGCAGACGGGGGGGAAATGCTAATTTTAAGAGATTATGGTTCAGCTCCAAAAAGAATGTGCTTATTTTTCTGTACTGTGTTATGTTTTACTGTGTTATATTTTGAAACACATTTCAGTGACAGCTTAGGCACTGTAGGGGATGGAGATGTTTCAGGAAACAGGACCGGAAAAAGTCAGAAGGAAAAAAGATAAATTCAGTGTCATACCCTATTTTAAAACTGCTGATTGAAGAACTAGTATAGAAGCTGCAGCACTAGCAAAATAAATATAAATGAAACGGGCAAAAAAGGAATGCCAGAATGGAGCAGGCTGAAAGGAAGTTCATGCTAGCCTGGGCAGGAATTAATTGTGTCATTTAGTGCTTTCTGCAGGTTTCTCCTCATACCTTTTGAAGTACTTCTAATTCTTCATGTACACAACTGTCTGATGTGAATTGCCCCCCAAACAGATACTCTCAGTACATTTTCTGTATCATCACGTACTTACAGATAACATAAAAGTGGTCATTTTGAAGGTGCCAGCTGGGGGCTGATCTACCACAAATCAGCGATGTACTCTCAAGCAATTCACTTCACTCTGTAAATTCGTTTTCTCCAATTCTTTATGTGACTCAAGTGCTACCTCTGCCTGAGACCTTCCCTGACCATCCTTAATCCAGAGCATATATTTCTAACACCTTATTGTGCTTTTTTTTTAAGATTTTATTTATTTATTTGAGAAAGAGAGAGCGTGCGCACAAGCGGGGGGGTATGGGGGAGAATCCCATGCAGATGCGGGGCTTGATCTTGCGACACTGAGATCATGACCCAAGCCAAAATCAAGAGTTGGACACTTAACCGACTGAGCCACCCAGGTGTCCATTATTGTGCTTTTTTAAAATAGCACTTATTACTCCCTAACATAATATGTTAGTCTGGGTCCTCTGAGAAGCAGATGTCAAGGTGGGGTTAAATCTGAAAAAATTGTATTAGGAAAAATGCCCTCAAAGTGAAAAGGGGGAAGGAGTCCAGAGGGCTGGGAGAGCCAAGAGACTTCACGGAGTCTCTTGTTCCTGACTGTTCCCCACTGACTTGTTCCACACTAGCATGCAGTCGAGGGAAGATGCAGTGCAGCTGCTGGAGGATCCTTGAGCCAAAGTCACCTGCAGGAGAGGCCCTGTGTTTCCCTGAAGCGGTTCTGCCTTAGTGTCCCTGTCACAGTCAGTCATCGGCTGGGAACAGACTGGAAGGCAGCCTAGGCCCGAACGAAGTGATGGAGGTCACAGTGCACCAGAACTGGGGCCCTTGGTCAATAATGTTGTTGGACATCTGCAAGGAGCATTCTTACGACCCACCAAAGTAATATACATATTTGTTCCTTCCATGTTCATCTCGCCCACCAGAATGAATGTTCTCTCAGGGCAGAAACTTTGCCTTTTTCATTAATTGCTCTATCCTCTGTGCCTGGTACATAGTAAAGAACAATAAAAATGTGTTAAATGAATAAATGTATCTGAATTATGGGGATAATATTAGTTGCTATCTTAAAAATAAATGCATTATAAAGTATACTAACCCACACATGGTAAGTCCCTCAATAAATGTTAGCTATTGTTATGAATATAATAAAAATATATCAACATCATACAGTAAGAAATCAAAGGCACTGAGAACTAAGCTAGATTAGAGGTTACATTGAAAATTCTTTGGGATAAATATACTTGGCTCTGATTTGGAATTACTATATGTTGGAGCAAGGAATTTATTAAATACAGACATAGATAGAAACACTAAACTGACTACCTTTTTTGGATAAGCATTAGCTCCATTCTCCAGACTCAAAATTGCAGTTAAGATAGCCTTTTTAGGATCTTGATAGAATAGTCTTCCTTCCTGTGAGCTTTTCCATATTTTGTATGTCATTTAAGAATTTTTTTTCTTAGTACTTGGACTCTATTTAATATCACACCCGGAACAAGAGCCAGCGTGGGAACCCACAGTCAGGACAGAGTCACATGGCCCATGGCTCACCAGGACCCACGGCTCACCAGGACCCACATTCTCCCAGCCCACCCTGTGCCGACATAAGCGAAGGAGCCTGCATAACGAAGGTGTGGGACTTAGAGGTTTTCACAGATCACTTACAGCTTTTTATTTTTATTTTTTTTTAAAGATTTTATTTATTTATTTGAGAGAGAGACAGAACATGAGACGGGGGAGGGTCAGAGGGAGAAACAGACTCCCCACTGAGCAGGAACCCGGAGGCGGGGCTTGATCCCAGGACCCCAGGATCATGACCTGCGCTGAAGGCAGACGCTTAACCAACTGAGCCACCCAGGTGCCCCCACTTACAGCTTTTTAGAGCCCTCGTAAAATGAGCTCTCAAACCAGCCACTTTTCGTAGAAACTCAGACACCAGGTGGGTGGGTCAGGTGCGCTCTGGTCTTCTTTTGTTTCAATCTAAGCTTGTTCCAAATCCTCTCCAGGGCCATTCTCCCCATGAAGAAGGCGATGGCAAAATTAGGCCGTGCCAGTCTCTGTTATAAAACATGTGTTTCTGAAAATTTTTACTTAAAAATTCCTTGTAAAAGTCAGCCATTTCTTCCACATTCAATGTCACTTTTTGACCTGATTCCGCTTCAGTTCCCAGGCCTTTAGCTTTTAATCTTGAGTGAATAAATTCTTCTTTTTTCTTATGAAAAGTCAAATTCTATTTTGCACAGAATTGTTGGTTACATCCTTCTGTATTTTGTCTTAACTCTCTTAGCTTTTGTTCCAATGGTGATTCAACTTTCAGGGATGTCAAAGTGAACAAATCAAAGGTTTGCATTTTTATCTGGGATTCCTATCCAATCATGGCAAGATGTTCTTGGCAGAATCTTGAGACCCTGCTGCGCACCATGCTTGTGCGTGGGGGTGGGGGGTAAGCTGACAGCTGGGACCAGTGAAGTTGTTAAAGAAAGGAGAGAGAAAAGTCCTCTTGGGGGCAGCAAGACTGCCATGTCCCAGGCAGCCTGTCACTTAAGAGTTTTTAAAAATCAATATGGCGGATACTTTCCTTGATCAGTGTACCCTACCTCTTCAGAAAACGCATCACACAATCAGAATGGAGTTCCTATGGAATTGATGGCTACATAACCCTTTTTTTTTTTTCCCCCCCAACTAAAATGATTTTTCCTTTAAATTCCCGTTTGGAATGTTTCAAATCACAGAGCATGTTGCCCCTGGGGCGCCTGACTGGTTCAGTCAGTGGAATCATTGACTCTTGATCTCAGGGTTGTGAGTTTGAGTCCCCACGGTGGTGTAGAGATTACTTAAATTAAAAAAAATTTAATTAAAAAAAAAGCCATATTGCCCCTAGATTCTAATGTTTTGGCGCAATTACCTCTAGAGTATAGTGAATAAAAACAATCACTCCCATTCCCTTTCAGGGGTGGGCAAGGGGTAGAGAGGGTTCTGCTTTGCTTAAAGAAAGTAGGCATCTGGAATTCATAACCAGGGGAAGGAGCTGATTCCTCTATGAGCTGATGCTAAAATAATGAAAAATTCACCTAAATGCAATCTACCTGAAATAACCTTTTCTTCTTTTCCACCATACCTTGTAAAGGCAGGCAGGAATACTTTCCAATTACCACTCTCAAGCTTAATTTTAAAACTCACTTTCTAATATCCATTTTACCTTAATTCTACCTATGTGAAATATTGGGGCTAACGAAGATTCTACAACATAGCTGATTTACCTTAGGTCCCAGGCCTCCTGCACAAGGCTCTGTTCTGGGCCATGCAACACTCCAGGCTCAGCACCTATTTCGGAACATAAAGTCAAATGTGAACATGGGCCACACTTATTTAAGAAAAATATTCTTTTCTTCTGATACATAGAAAGAGATGTGAATATAGTATATGATTACAGTTTTCTCACAAACTCATCAAAATAATAAAAACACATTAAACTTATCATAAACTTACCAAACTTTTTTAGGTATAGACTGAATGTATGTGTCTCTTCTAAAATTCATATGCTGATATCCTAACCCTCAATGTGATGGTATTAGCAGGTGGAGCCTTTGGGAGGTGATTTGATCATGACAGTGTAGCCCTCATGAATGGGATTGGTGCACTTATAAAAGAGACATCAAAGAGCTCCCTCACCTCTTCCCCCACATAAGTACACAGTGAGATAGCCATCTATGAATCAGGAAGTGGGCTCTCGCTAGACACTGAATCTGCTGGCACCTTGATCTTGGGCTTCCCTGTTTCCAGAACTGTGAGAAGTAAATTTCTGTTGTTTATAAGCTACCTAGTCCATTATATTCTGTTATAGTAGTCCAAACAGACTAAGACACATAGCAACACAGAAAAATCATATTTTCAGATGCATATATGTATAAATATATCAGTTATGGTTAATGATCATACTTATCAAAATTATTAGACTATGCCATTTGTACAATTCCATACCCTGATGCTTACTTAAGTGTTCTCTTGTTAGCATAGCAAAGGACATTAATGTTTTAGATATAATAAGAATAAGCAAAGATAAGTTATTATTTTCCAAATGTCATCCACTAGAACTATGTTAATAGTGTAATAAAACACTCTCTTTGGTTTAAATGAACAACCATCAAAGAATCAAAGAACTTTATATACTATCTTGAAATTTTCTAGATCAATTCCCTCATTTACAGAATGGAAACTTAGAGAAGTTAAGAAACTAGCCCACTCTCACACTGCACATCTAAAATTAGGACACAAGAATTCTGCTTCTGATGTCACATTCCTTCCACTATCTTATTCTCTCTCTATCTCAGTTGAGAACATAGTCATCCACAAAGACATAAGCTGCACATCTTCTGGTGGCATATTGTAAATGATTTCATATTTATCTATATTTATCTATAACTATATGGATATAGCCTTATATAATTTGTACATCTCGTTTATTAACCATAGAGGATTAAAACTGTGAATAAGGGTAATGTTAGCAAAATGTGGAGCCAAAGAGCAATGGCCTTTTTATAATGTTAGGAAGTTTTTAATGGGTGAAAAATTGTTAATGTGATAACATCAAACCAAAATGAATATTTTTTTTCTAACCGGAGGGAGTAAATTTCCACACTATATTGAAGGGGGAACTGCTTCTTCTGTTAAAAACCTCTTGCTCACATCTTTCAAACTATAGTTTTGTTCTGTTAGGGGGTCTAGAAATCAATTTCATTGGTTATGATCAGAAGATTTTCAAATGAAATAGAAATGAATAAAATATCAGAGTGCATCACTCAGTCATAATATTGTTTTAAGAAACTATTGATTTTGTTTTATACATGTCCATGTGAACTGGATCATAGTGTAAAATATATACTGCTTTCTCTAGGTTACAGTCTACAGTGTTTGAAAGCTACTCTTCTACCTACTGCTAGCTGCTGTTTGAAATTGAAAGGTCAGCACAGTTTTTAGCAACTGAGATGGCTTTTCTTCATCACATTAAAACTATTATAACTAATTCCATAAGGAGAGTTATTCAGAATAAAAAGAATCTGAAACAGTAACAAGACAAAACTTGTAGAAAACAATTTAATCAAAAAACTTTGATTTTAAAATGTACAAAGTCTAGGGCGCCTGGGTGGCTCAGTCTGTTGAGCGGTAAGTGTCTGACTTCGGCTCAGGTCATGATTCTGGGGTCCTGGGATTGACCCCTGAGTCTGGCTCCCTGCTCAGCGGGGAGTCTGCTTCTCCCTCTCCCACTCCCCCTGCTCATGCTCTCTCTCTCAAATAATAAAATCTTTGAAAAAAAATAAAATGTACAAAGTCTTTAACATACATTCCTGGGATATTATTTGCCAAGAGTTAGATTGTTTACCCCCAGCACAATTTCAGTTTTACAGATAAGAGAATGAAAGACTCAAGAACACTAATAGTTGAGAATTAGAAATAAATTCAGTCTTTTTGAATTTCTGCTTTATATATAATTCTTTGAAGTATTTCTATCACTGAATATCTTTCAACAATTTTATTACTCTATTAAAAAGTGTTGTATTTCCCTTTTTCCTTTTGACTGTGAAGTGAATTTCAATAAGGAAGTTCAACTTGAAAACACTGGTGCCCTGAATATTTTCGTCATCTTTACAAAGAAAAGTGCTCTCCAGGGCAACTTCCTTTGGGCTCAGTGCTTCAGCCAATATGCTATGAGCAAAAGATATGGTGTTATTCTACTATTGTATTTCTTAAAGAACTACTTTAAAAACAAGTCAGTCCAAGATGTAAAGTCGTGTGTGTGTGTGTGTGTGTGTGTGTGTGTGTGTGTATGCGCGCGTGGCTTAGAATTGTTAGGTTCCCAGGGGTGAGAAAACAAGTTTGGTAAATTTCCAAACTGCTTAGTATTTTTCATGAAGTCAAAGTACTACCATAGATATCACAATTCAGAAAAATCTTTACTTGTGAAATGCTCTCGACTTCCTTATGTTCCCCTTCCCTTGTCTTTCAAAAGGGTACAAAGATGCCAAGTATGTTTATCACCAATACTTGAATATAGAAGAAATTTCATTGTACTTTAAGGGACAAAAGAATACTATCTCTTATGAAACCTCAGAATATTTCAGGGAAAATATTTCACACAGGCCAATTCCAAGTGTTTCAGAATTGGGTTTCAGTTCTGGTTCTACTTAGCGTCCAGCACAAGCTTGGGTAACTTTACTTCCCTGAACTTAAGTTTTCTCATCTGTACAATGAGAGACTTTAACAAACTAATCTCTTAGATCCTTTCCATCTCTAAGATTCTAAAGAACCTTATATGTAAAACATGTTATAAAACTTGTTTTATAAAAAATTAAAGGGAAAGAATATTTATGCACAAACCATAATTGGGCTAGTTGAAAAAATCTGTTCTTATTTTTTGGTGTCACATTTTTTCAGAAGTTGACAGCAAAAGAGCATCCTGAGCTCAGTTTCATGGATGGTACATGAAGCCTGTTACTGCATTTTCCAGGGACATGTTGATGAGTCTATTGTCAGTGAACATAGATAAGAGCCCCCTTAGATGAAGGCCCACATGGGGGAAAACAATTTTAGGTGATGACAGAAAAATGTTTTCCTGTTACCAATAACTTAAATATCATATCCACTTTTGATTTTAGATCAGAGCCAAACAAGTTTAAGCTATAGGTTTGTGCATATTTTTGTTCTTTTGCTCTCATTCTTTATATTCTACTTGTATTTTAACTTCTCATAGCTCTGATTTGTCTTCTTATTTATATTTCACCACTACATTATATGTTTGAATTCATTTTATTATTATTATTCTTTAGAATTTACTTTAAATATTTCATAAGGTGATGTGAAATATTATGAATGAATGAATTGATTGATTAGCTTAATATTAATTAGGCCTTCAAAAAATTGAGAGAACTGAGTATTTTTAGCTTGAAAAAACAGAAGTATTTTCACAGTTAAATAGTGTCTTATGGAAAAGTGAATAGATTTCTGTTGTTACAAAGAACAGAAATAAGACCAGTATGTGGAAATTACTGATAGAATTCAATTCATTGTGATGAAAATTTCTTAACAGTATTTTTTTTTAAGATTTTATTTATTTATTTGACAGAGAGAGAGAGAGAGAGCGAGACAGGGAACACAAGCAGGGGGAGTGGGAGAGGGAGAAGCAGGCTTCCCGCGGAGCAGGGAGCCCGATGAGGGGCTCGATCCCAGGACCCTGGGATCATGACCTGAGTTGAAGGTAGACTCTTAACGACTGAGCCACCCAGGCACCCCTTAACAGTTAATCTTAAAAAGGAATAGGGTGTACCACAAAGCATCAAGTTTTCTATCATGTGACTATATATGAACAGAACCTAAACAACCACTGGTGGTAATAATCCTTCAGTGAATGGGAGGCTGGCCCAGATATAATCTAAAGCCTTCCACATCTTTGAGATTGTAATAAAATACATAGTACAGCAAGAAAAACAATATATAGGTTCTTACAGCATCACATTATCATTGATGACAACAGTATTGGTAATCATAATAATAGCACTAATGGCTGTAATAATACAGTATAGGACTTTACTTGCTTTTATCTGGGTCAGTATCAAAATACATCATATGTAAGTATTATTTCTCATCACAGTTTTACAGATAAGAAAATTAGAATGTTTCAAAGTGAAATAACATACAAGGGTAATGAAATTGCCTAAGCTGACAATAACTCAGCAAAAATTAAGGAGGCCACTGGCTAACCACTAGCTGTGGTTAACTAACAAATGTTGACTCTGGTATAGCAGAGCCTTTTAGAAGGATTGGGATGCATGGCTAGTGAAGTTTTGACTAAGGAAGAGCTGGCTAAGATGCTAAGGATATTGAATTTGACCTTCTGATATTTAACAAAATGTCATGTTGCAGAGCTTTGAGGAGTCTGGTAAGCACTCAACTCCTGAATTTCCTATTTTATAAGAGGATGGAGGACTTTAAGGGATTCTCTTCTCTCTCATATTTCCTCCCATATCTGCATTATTCTTTCAGACCAGCTACTCTAAATGGCAACATGCATTGCCACAAGCAGCTCTGAGCTCCCATCTTTACAGCTTTATGACCAGAGAAAACATCCCATTTGAAACTGCTCTGAAAGGATGCTGATTAGCCTAAATCACCCACACACCAATCACTGGGCCAGTAAAGGGTGAAATACCCCACTTGGAGTTATGCCCACTCTGTGGTTAAGTTATTATTAAAACCTGTGGGTGTGTTATTATTAAAAGCAGGAAAAGACATTCCTACCTACAAAGTTTTCTGGGTGGGATATGTAGTACAATGTCAATTTTCCTTTTTCCTATCTGTTTGCTTCAGACTGCCTTTCTGATGCTTAACTTGTGACCTATTACAAGCCTATAATTTAAAACTCAGTACTTAGATATGCCAAGAACTGGTAGAAAGTTTGAACTTAGAGGATTAAAAAAGTGTTCAGTCAGGGTTTAGTCAAAATCTCGAGCAGGGTAAACTAAAGGGCATTCTTCTGTAATCTTTAAATGAGGAGAGGAGATAGTATGAGTTTTTATTATCCACAGTTCAAATTATTTTTCAAGAGTGGAGATAGGGGTTGACTTGTCAGTTACATTTGCAAATAAATAATTACAGTACAATATAATTGTTATAACAGAAATAAGTCCAAAAGGGTGAAGGAAAGGCAAGTCCGTCTTGGAAAATTATGAAAGGTTCCATAAAGGAGGTAAGTTTTCAATTCAACTGAGACCCAAAGGATCCTGAAAGAACGTGGAAAGATCACAGAAAAGCAAGGAGTTCAGTATGGCTAGTGTGGAGTAAATGGGCAAGAATGGCAGATGATAGCAGTCTGAAGCAAGATCATGAAAGGCCCTACTGGTAATGGGAAGCCCCTGAAAAAAATCTTTGCAGACGAATATTGTGATCATATTTTCATGTTAGAAAAATTATTAATAGAATATAGGTTGGAGTGGAGTGGGAAATTACAAGAGGCTATTGCAATTGTCCAAGGGAGATGAGTCAGGAAAGGTGTTAATTACTTGATGGACTGACAGTGAGAGTGAAGATTGAAGAAGAGTGGATTTAAGGGATACTTAAGGAGATAAGTCAATAGAATTTGATATTAGGATAGAGGAAGTGAAGGAAATGTAATACAGGGGTACTGCTGGATTCCTGTCTTGGGTAATTGGGTGCCATTATCTGAAATGGGGAATGAAAATGGGCTAGTTTAAAAGGGATGGGTGGGGAGAGTCTCAGGAATAAGGAATGCTAAAGATACCAACATCAATTTAGGACCTATTTAAGGTATCTGTGTGATATCCAAATGAAGATGTTGCTTAAAAGTCTAACCTGAAGATACACATCTGGGAGTCCCTGGTGCACTGGGACACCTAGTAAAATAGATTGTTCAAGGATATGAGAGGAATAAGGTCAGACAAGAAAAGAAAAGAAAATGGAGAGCTTGAGAACACAGAGGGCCTTAAGAAAAATATTTAAAGTGTGTCAGAGATGTAGTTGCACAACCAAGAAATAGTGGTACTAGGGAAACCAAAAGGAGAGTTAATAGTGTTACTATTTTTTAATGAAGTTTTTCTTCCCCTCCTCCTCCAGAAGTTTTAAATTTCTGGAAGGCAGGAACTATGTCTTAACTTTCACTATATTTCCTTTAGTGCTTAATTCAGTGAAGGAAATATAGTAAATTCTCAATAAATTCACATTCATTCAGTCTCAAGCAAAATGCACCTATATCAATGTAAAATGTTTCTTCATTCTAATTTTTCAAATAAACTTTTAGTTACCTATGAGCTTACTTAAATCAATTTTTATAACCTGTATGTTCTACCTGCATCAGCTTTGAAATGAGTTTCAAAATTTTGTTTATCACTTGAGAGGGATCTTTGATACTAAAGATGGCAGTGGGTTTTTTTTTAAACTTCTATAAAAAAAAATTACAAAACAAAGTTTAGCCCAATTCCGAAGCAGTAGCTTAAAACTTCTAACTTATAACTTGTTCTAACGCAGAGTAAGGAGGCAGCCAAATTTTTCTTACCACAATTAAGTCAACATGTTTATTAAAGCTTTCATTTTATTAATAGTCACGAAATAACCAGTTGGGGAATATACCTTCAAGCCAATGGAAGCCATTTCACTGTAAACAAATCGTAATGATTCACAGAAAGCTAAAAGGAATTGCATACCCACATGCGGTTTTGAAGCCAGGCAGTACGGATTGTTTTCTCTCAGGTAACAATACTTAACCCAGTCCTTCGTGGGTTCGCGTTCCTGAGCTTAGAAAATACCGAAAACGTTGACCAAGAGCGCGGGAATAATCACCTCCGCTTGAGAAGAACTAACCCCTTCTTCCTTCTACACCACACAGCCAACCGGCACGCACCTTCTCCAACAGCTAAGCCCTAATAACGCTCCACTCTTGCTTTAGGGGAAATGTTCAAGTTCCTGCTCTCGCGGGATCTCGCGCCTTGGAGTAAGTCAACTGGATCGCGCGCCCAGTCGAACCCCCGCGGGAATACAGTTCGCCAGGTCCGGAAAGCCGGGAAATCGAGTGCGGGGCGGGGTTAGCTCGAGGAGCGTGAAGGCGGGGCCTTTCCCGAGGAGGCGGGACCGGCACGAGGCGGAGAGTGGGGCGGGTCTCCCGGGACCTGTTGATCGCAGGTGTCACTGCCCTTTCTGGCCCTTGGTGTTGGGGCGTGTGCGCATGCTCCATGCGCAGGGTCGGGCTCTGGGCGGCGAGACCAGACGCCTCTGCTTCAGTTCCCGGTGAACCTCGGCTAAGGTGGCAGCTGTTAGTGTCAGACGGGTGTTGGCGTGAGGCGGAGCAGGGCCAGCGGGAGGTAGTCCTGTGAAAGTGGAAGGCCCGTATTTCTTTACCTGGACCGCACTCTCCCTCTCGTTAGGGCAGAGCTCAAGGTAAGTCTCCGAAACTAGTCCCTAGATAGAGATCCAACGACCTGCGACCCCCGCCCCGGGCCTGAGTGGGAGACCCTCGTTCCAGCGTCAGACCTTGCTTCTCCCCTAGCAGCCCTGCGACATCCTTCGCCCCCGTTCCCGGGCTCTTTGCCCGGGCTCAGGCATCCGAGGTCACGCAGCCTTCCCTCCTCCTTCCCGCCCGGTCCCGGCCCTGGAGGAGATGTATCTGGCCAGGCTGTAGGCGCGCGGGAGGAGGTGCTGTATTTACTGGGTCGTGGTTGTTCATTGCTGCTGTGTTTGAGGGCGGACACGAGGCAGAACCTGGAGTCCAGCTGGGTCGCTTAGTGCGTTCGGATTATGAATATTACGCTTACTTGGCCCCTGCCCCTCACTTGCGGAGCAGCCACTGCCTCGCCCGAGCAGCCCCTTTTTAAAGGGGTCCTGATGGTTATGTTGCGCTCCTTGGAGAAGAGAGATGACTGGATTCGTGAGAATCTTTGGGCTGGTGGTTTCTGGGTGGTAGTAGTAATTTATAGTTAATGTTTAGCTTCTAAACGGCGACTTACGGGGCGTTTATCAAACTACTTTTAAACATCGTTGGAGAACAGGAAGTACTTGTACAGGTGTACTAGGGAGGCTGTCTAAAGCCTGCAATCTGAGCGTGTTCTGAGGTTTTGTTATCCTGCTACAGGGTTTTCTGTATCAGAGCAAGGTCTGATTAATGCTTGCAAAATGTACTGCAAGGCTTTATTTGTTAGACAGCAGAGTATGCCAAAATGTTTCCTTATCTGGAAAAATATATGTATTTTTGCAAGGGATTTTCAAGGCTATTTGTGAGGGATGTTTAAACTTAGGAAGTTCTTTGTGATTAGGGTCTGATTCGCTTTTAATTCTGTTCTTTAAAGAAAAGCATTGCTAATTCTGTGTTTAAAAGGAGTAGCAAGTGCTAACAAAATTCTAATTGAATGTACTTTTGGCCAAATTGATACTTTCTTGTTAGTTTAATTTTCTATTTTCAGTTTCCTGATGATGGCCTAGGCAAAGCTTCTTCATCCTGTGAAAGAGAAATTAAAAACAAACAAACAAACTTATTTTGCAAAAGTGATTTAGGATTTATCTACCATTGTGGTAAGAATTCCAAATAGACACACTCACTGTAGGTAAGAGTTAATTATAGGCTGGAAAAAACACAGTTTTTGTTTTACATTTTAGAGGCTCTTAAAATGAGCTTTTTGGACAGTTTGCCTAGGTTCATGATTAGTGGTGATAAACCATGAAAGTGATTTATTTAAATTTGTTCATAAATTAAACTCATTGGTAGTTATGTGTATTTTTTCCTATAGTGTAAAAATAAGTGACCAAGAACAGGTCTTTTTTTCTCTATTAATTTAAAAACTTTTTATAAATGCATAGTGTTCATGGAACACTAATAGTCACTCCATTAATATTATTTTCTCTAGAAGATACAAAAAGTAGTTTTTTAAAAGATAGGTATTTTAATGTGAGAGGGATACCCTTTTCCACCTAGTTTGTTCTTTTCCTTAAAAAAGAAAATCTCTTTTCAAAAACTCTTATAATTTTAGTATGCACTGTGATTCAAGAACTTTATTATTTAGTGTCAAATGTTTCTTTTAGTCTCAAATATAATTTTGGAATTATGGTTTAGAAGCCAATTTTAACAAACAGTTAAAAAATGAAAATTTTTATTTATTTTAAGGTGATGTACACATTAAAAAGTCAAAAATCAGGGTTATTTTTCCTGTTGAAACTGTTTGGAATTCACTCACCTACCATGCTAGGGAGGATGTTGCTTTACCCTACAATTTTCCAAAAGTATGTTTGAAATCTATAAAGTGGTAGATTAGGCTATCCTACAAAGACATTTACTTATTACAATACTTAGCAGATCTTGTAATTTGACAGCTTTAACTATAAGGTGTTTCTTAATTATAGACCCCAAAGACAACCTACAACAAGGTTGTTTATGTAGTGCGTCTGAAAGTATTTTGAATACAGAGTGTGCTAGGTATGCTAGGGCCCCCCAAACTGTCAATCCTACTGGTTCTCATGAGCTCTTGGATTAAGGAAAGACGTGTACTGATTTATGTCATCTTTGGAAAACTAGCTAGAAATTCCTGATGATACAAATGTAGCATTAGTATATTATTATTAATTTTGTACAGATGTAATGATTTTAGAAAATTTTGCAATACAAAAGATGCACATAGTAGGAACAATAAATGGATGCAACCTGTTCTACCACAGATAAAATCTTCAAAGGTTATTTAAGCTTTAAATAACTTTATATAATATCCTAATCTTGGCAAGTTATTATGAGTTTCTTTTAATAGGAACATTATATTTTTATATCTATGTATCTATCTATAGACTATTTAGGTAAGAAGTATCTAGTCTTTGCTCTTCCAAGTTAACACATATCCTCTACCAGGAGTTCTTAAAGTAGGGTCCATGATTAGAACTGTGGTCTGTGGTTAGAACTGAATTTTAATATAATTGGTTTTCTTTGTGATATGATTTTTTTCTTTCTTTCAATCCTATGAATTTTATTTTATGCATTTACAAACATCATTCTAAGGAGCCCATAGGCTTCATTAGGCCACCAAAAGTGTCTCTGACATTCACAAAAGTGCCACAAACCATTTCATCTGGTTGAAGAATTTTTGTTTTAGGTAAGTCACTTCAGAAAAGTTGCTGCATATGTTCATATTTGTAATTCATCAGAAAATAAAATATAATGCAACGTAAACTGTATTTCAGTATCTTAGCTGTCATTTCAGTCATCTGAGTTGTGGCATTTTTGAATCTGTTTGGTATTTTTGAATACATTTTGTAAATGTAACTTCTATTTACTTCTATTTTGTAAATATTGACCTGCAAAAAGCAGTTTGAAGAAATACTGGTCCTTTGGAATTTGGAAACTTTTTTACTTTTTGTGATTTTCTGATTTAGCAAATTTACTTAATGAACATTTATTGACCTATTGTTATGCTAGACACCAGAGATTCAAAAATTAATAAGACAACATTAAAGTAGTCAAAAATTTGAGTTCTTCCTTTTCAGAGCCTTATCTCTGGCTGTTCCCAATCCTCCCCTGACTGAACTGAGTTTCCAAAGATAAAATAAGTCTTTTTTTCTTATACCCTTGCCTTTGCAAGATGCTGCTTCTCCTCTTCCCATTCTCCTTTCAACTTCCCAAAATACCACACCGATGAAGTATTTTCTAATCCATCAAAAGACAGTAGATTATCACTTCATTTTTCTGTTACCACTGTATTTTGATCTATATCGTATAGAGATCTATACTGTGTTGCTGTAGAGGGAAGACAGAATAAGGGAATCTGGAGATGATGTTATGTGTACTCTCATCTTAAGTGTAAAGAGAGAACCATATGGACAGCACAAAGAATGGTAGGCAGGCAGAGGCGCTTTCTAGGGGACCCAGAGACAGGATGAGAGCAATGTCCACGTACGGTTTGGGTGCTCTAGTAATTTTCTGTGGCTGGGTGGATCATGTTATTTATGAATCAAAATTGTCGTTGAGGAGGTTTGTAGTTATTTTTCTGAAAAATGACACATAGGTTGAATTTTTTAAATTAAATCTCTGTTGTTTATTATTTCAGAGTTGCTTACCATTGATTTCTAATGTTTTACCTCAGTTTCTCCTTCTCTAGTCCAAAAGTTTGTAGGCAAATGCTTAAAATAATACTGTGATGAATCCACTTGTAAAGTGAAGCATTCCCAAACATTTTCTTGTAAATTAGAATTTTTCATGTTAAATTTTCTTAAAGTAGGATATCTCTGTAAATGAAATCGCTTATTTTTTACTAAGAATGACTTATTAACATATTACAATTTAGAAATTGATACTTTATTGTACAGTATGTCTGATCTAACTGAGGTTATAATCAAGATTGATAAAATCAGTTTAAGGAAATGGAGAAAGATAGCAAAATGAGATATAAAATATACAGCTTTTACTTTCTATTCAAATGTTTATATTATTAAAAATAATTTTACTTCAAAGATAGTGTTGTTGGGGCGCCTGCGTGGCTCAGTCGGTTAAACGTCTGCCTTTGGCTCAGGTCATGATCTCAGAGTCCTGGGATCAAGTCCCACATCGGGCTCTCTGCTCTGCGGAGAGCCTGTTTCTCCCTTTCCCCCTGCTCTTCTCTCTCTCTCTCTCTGTCAAATAAATAAATCTTAAAAAAAAAAAGTGTTGTTGCTATCATTATAATTAGCTTACATTTACTGAATGCCTGCTATATTTTGGGCATATATTAGGTATTTTATACATGGTTTATGATACTTATAACTATGACCTTTTTATGTAATTATGATTATAGATTATGTAACATACAATTTTAATGATTGAATAGTTGAGTAATGTTCTGCGCTACTGAAAACTTTATAAGAGGTGGAAGAAATAATTGTGGGGCACATGAGGTCAGTATCAGACTTAGATTCCGTCCTTGTCAAGAACCTATCAGGGCATTCTTTGTCCACCAGGTGTTTTATGCTTTGGCATCTTTGAAACTTCTTAGCCTGCATAATACACTCTTGCCCCTCTCATGGTGACCTTCCCTGTTTTTAGGCAAGCAGGCTGTTTGAAACCTAAAAGATTTTTCCTTCTATAATGTATACTGTATAGGCCTGAAATAATCCTACCTCCTTGACCTAGCTGCCAGATGGTAGGAAATTGTCCTGAACTCTGATTGTCTAGGTCATCTTTGTTAGGAACACTGATTTGTTCATTAAGGTTTCATTTTATTTCCTGAGCTTCCTACAATATTTAATGAGTACTTACCATGTATTTGGTACTGGTTTACATGCCT